CTCCCGCTTCTGCGAAAACGTCCTCCAATGCAAGGGTGCGCATCAACTGGAAGCGTTGCCATGAAGCAAACATGCTTATGTCCTCGCAGCCATCCACCTGGCCCAGAAGCCACACACATGTTACCAAGTACTAACAGTACTATCTAAAATTACTAGTAGCCTCTGGAAGCTATGTTGCTCCCGATGGCTGGAAAATGTGCTGTTTAACACACTGTGGACAGTGTTTTCCTTTCAAGCGTGGGCTTTTGGGGGGAGGGGTAGCATATATGGTACCCATATATATATATATATTTCATATGCTCATGCGTTCTGAGGCCTTTGCTCAGAAGGGACAAGAGAGAGCAGTCACTCACAGCCGTCAGGAGCGGCCTTTCCAGTTGCGGCTGACCGACTGCGCGGATGCTGCTCAGCTTGAACCGCAGGGCGCCGCAGGAGTGCAAGGTTTATGCTTGTTTATCCTCTCTCGATGCCGCAGCGCCGTGAGTCTCAAGCACTGGGAAGTCTGCACAGACTCCTCTAGGCCCCAGCTCAGACTTTTGTTTCGACCAGAATGGGCACGGGTTGGCTTCGCGGACGCGGGATATTGTCGGAGCTCTGGCAAAACAGGACTCCAAGCTTATACCAAGTCAAGTAATTTCGCGCACGAAATCAGCAGTCGGAGATTCGTCACGTATTGCTCCGATCACTGGCGTGCTTTCGCAGGACTACAGGAAGTATCCCCATGCTTGAAGACCCGCACTGGCAGAAAGCTCTGCCGCTGTCTGCAGCCCTGCCGAGCACGATTTCCGAGCGTCTTCCCGAGCTTCTTGCGGTTTGGCGACTCCGCTCTGTGTGCAGCTCATGCCAGCATGCATCGAAGTTAGAAGATTTACGGTCATCGCGAAGGCAGTATCACATAGGTCATAGCATACTTTATGCAGCATACCGCTTATCCTTTTGCGAACCGTTAAGTTTCAGTTACGCCTCTTCATCTCGCTGCCTTTTGTGAGAGTGGCCGACTGGCTGTGTGCTACAACCAGGGAGTAAGCCCACCGATTACATCATGTAGGGGGATTGGGATCTTTAGCACTCACCTCTTGTATACAAGGTATATCATGATCGATACGTATGGTTCCAGCAATGGGATGCTGGTTACTGTAGGTCGGATTTCAGCGGCACACCAACCCCGAGTGCACGTCTTGCAAGTAAGCGTGCACCTCCTTGGAGGGTAGGTTCAGGAGTGCCGAAGCTTACTAAGGTAAAGGCTATGGAACATGGTTACATATCGAAAGGATATGTACTCTACGTTTTCAATCCATGTGTGTTTACGAGTGACTGCCAGTGACGGAAGGTGAGGCCGATCACCCTCCCGTACCTGCAATCGATAGTTTGGGATGTTGTCACATCTTCTTAGCTTCTTGCGCACTCACTGTTGGTACACTCGGGCTGTTTGCAGTTTTCATCTTGGAGCACGCTCTGCTTCGACGACCTTGCCAGGCTCACAGGTGTTAAGACTAGGGCTATAAAGCGTGCAGCTTTTGCAATTTTAACAGCTGAAGTATTGGCCACCGAATGTGGAGAATCCGTTAACGATGAAGAAGCATGCTCATTGATAATTTGATAATCATTGGCAAGGTCACATTGGACCTCCTAGTCTCAAGATGCATTTCAGCTCTGGCACTGTCATGACATGTCATGTTCCTTCACTGCTTAGTTCGTGATTGGCGTTCTGGTACTTCGACAATTCCACTGATTCTACCCAACGGAGAGGTTGGAGAGTAATGACATTATGATATATGTGCTTGTCTATCTCTCGCTCTGTCTCTCTTCCGCCATCTGCCTCTCGTGCGCCTTCCATGTATCGTAGTAGCCGCGGTCTGTCCAGCATGAACATGTGGGATCCCCAGGTAAAGCATGGCACCGCGCTACGATCCGGGCTTGCCTCTTGAGACAAGACAGATGGACGACCACAGAACTCGTGCGAGTATCATGCTCTTACTTTGAGGGTGGCGGCGCTGACTTCTTAGCCAGACGACTAGTTTTGGGTCCACGGCATATCGACGATCCGATGGGAGGCGAGGCTCAGATGATCATGGTCAAAGGCAATACAGAAAGCCGAGAAGCTCCACACGAATTTGAACATTCAGACGGCAGCTATGTTTGTGAGATTCTGAACAACGAGAGGGCAGTCCTCAGGATACTGGTTCTGCGAAGAGTGCAACATGGCTCGTCAAATCCTGAAGAGCACGAGGTCTCACTGGGGCAAGCCCTCTTTGCAACCACTTACTGCAAATGAGCAGTGTCGCAAGTCCAGAAGCTGGACAGCACAGGGCGGCAGGCTCAACAACAACACTTCGGCGTAAGAGTTCGGTATAACTCATACCAGGATCGTGTTGCACGTGATGGTGAGTGCTATACACACTGTCATCGTTGCATGTGTGTATGAACTTTGTGTATGTACCTCAGCTCAAGGAACGAAGTTGCATGTCAAGGTTTAATATTTGTACATGCATGCTTGTCTGTATGTCCGTCTCAATGTATCGCGGTGTGTTCCTGCATTACGAAGGCATGCGTATATGTGGTTAATTTTACATAGTGATTCAATAACATCTGCATCAGAACACCCATGAATCTAGACACCGTGTATTTATATACATTGTATACATGATGTACATATGTATGTTAACGCACACTAAGCTGCCTAAGAGAGGCAAGTTTCAATTCAGGGTTCATGACTCTAATGGGCAATATTTCCGCCTTGCTCGGGTTTCATATAGTTGCTGGGCACCACCAAGCAGACGTATCCGATGGGTTTTTATTGCATTGGATTCTCCAAGCAAGAGGCTCTCTGTCACTGACTCGAATCCTTTCCGGGCCGCCTTCCAAGAGCCGCAGTAGACAGCAGCTAGGGACTGCGCAACGTTAGAATTCTTGGGTGCACAATGACGCGGTTATTGCGATCCCTGTAAACCCTGTCCGAGCTCACGACATTCCTGATTCAACCTTCCATCAGACTGGGATTTGGGCCAAGCTTGCTACACAGCCGGCAATGTTTAGTTTCCGTGAGGCTGACTGTTGCCGGTGCTGTCTTGTGTGCTTTCGTTGGAGTTGGCAGCTGAGGCAAATCAAATTCATGAATTTCCGTTGGGGAGGGGGGCGCTCTGCACGATGGAAGGACGCACTCAGCAGCTTTTTGGAAGCATCTATAGAGTCCACTGCTCTAATGCCACCACGACTAAAATCAAGATATCTGGCAGGTTCTACCAACACCGGGTGCCCAAACGAGGAGGCATGCGGGACCCCACAGCAAGCAAGGCAATCCTTGGCAATTTTGATGTGATCCACTCCACTTCAACATGGACTCGACGGAAGAACTCGATTACTGTAAAGCTAGGGGAGGCAGCCAGTAAAGTACCAATTTTCGTGGGAATGGCTTGTCGAGGTCAGTCCGCGGCAGCACGCATCAACCTGACGTGGCGTTGGATAACGTCGCATGACAAGCGATGTTCGTTTCACAAGACCCAGCCATAGTGGAGGAAAAGCGGGTCACCGATCGCACATGTTCAGATTGGGCGGGTCCTGCTGCTTTTTACTCGAATGGTGCAGAAGGTGTGCAGCTTCATGTGCCCCATTGTCAGTGCCGTGTTTTCGGTGCGGCAGGGCAAGGCGCGACTTCTGCGTTTCTATTACGACGTTGCTATGGACAGGCCTCTGTCCGGGCTTTCACGAGATGAGGGAGAAGGGGTTGATACTATCTCTGACCGTGATGAGGCAAAAGCACATCGTGCAGACAGTCTTCCGCTTAGGCCCATCAGTATGCTTCGACATGTATGTCAAAGTATGCCGGACAGCTCTGCACCAGACAGCGTTGTCCTGCCTGTCAGTCAGCACGAGAGTGGACGAGAACTGCTGCTGCTTTGTGGAGGAGCTTCAGTGAACTGTTGTGCAGAAGCTGTTGGGCTCGAGCACATCAGAGAGTCTTTTTTTCGATCATTACCCTTGTTGCCTTCAGAGAGACTCTTCTTGATGTGTCTGGGTGCTTGACTCACGCAGCTAGCACAGCTAGGACGAGTCCCTTTTCGGACCCGATCACAAGATCATATATAGGCGGCCGTGTGGGTTCTGTTTGCGAGCACGCACCATGCGCAGAACTTACATTCATCTGCACGGTTGAACGAACTTTGGCATGGAAGGCACTTCGCAACCCTGTACTTCGTCTTTATAGCGGACAGCGCTGAGAGCGAGCTCGGGGTGCTGGACCTGATCCAGGCAGAATTGCCTCGATCTGCAGAGGGACATAGACAATCGTCCTGAGCGATAGATCGCATGCCGGGATGCAGGACCTGCTAAGTTGTCTCGTGTCGGTGCCACTTGTACTTGGAGGTTTCATTGTTCAAAATAGCATCGTGTCACGCAAGCCGGAGTCGGAGGTCTTCGTCCAAGTCCTCGATTCCTGTTTTGAAAATGTCTGTGAGCTGGACCTGATCTACCACTTCGACCGGGCCGGGAGCCGTGCGAGGGAGTCGTCGTCCTTGGAAAAGCTCCTGTGCCCGGCTAGCAGTCAGGTGAACTACATCCTGGACGAAATAGTCATGGCAGGAATGGTGCTGGAGACCAACGCTGATCTTATCCTGGCGGCCGTCAAGGTCCGCACTCATTCGCATCCGAAAGGATGCTTTCCCCAGTAGGCTTCCGGCATTTCATCATCATGTCATTGGCTACTGTCGTCTACAGTGATGGACGAAACAGGAGACGAAGAAGCTGGAACAGGAGGGGTCAACATTTGGTTTCTGAATGCCTGCACAGTGCCTGTGCCGGTGGAGAGCAGCGAGAGCCCGGAGGGCTGCTAAAGACGCATGCGCACGGGAAAATTCCATGCACCTGCTGCTGCTGCTGCTGCTGCTGCTGCTGCTGCTGACTTTAAAGCTGCGTAGCTCCTGCAGCGCGAAAGGGCAGCGTGACAGCGACCTCACATTGCTCCCGCAGAAGGGCTGAGCACGAGATTTGTCAGGATTTTCATGTTGCACTGGCACAGACACTGTTGAAACGTTGGTAGCTATCAGGACGTCTGTTGCCATTGACCCAAAAGAGTAGCCGGATTTTGTCAACATGCAGCAGACTGTTGCAATAAAGACTCCAGGCTGCAATGCAGCCCTGATGCCTCTGCACTTGACCGAGGGCCACTATGCAGACTTGGTCAAGGGATCTTTGGTTGCGTTTTGATGGACGATGATTTCGACAGGTTTCTAGAAGCCTCGAACGATGACGAGGAGAGCTTTTTCCAGCCGACGTGGAATGCTTCGGCTTCCAGCCGGGACATCCCGGGCCATGGCCGCTCGCCGGTGAGAGGAGGCAGTCCTTCATATCGTGGGAAGTATGCTGGTGCTGGTGGAGGATATCGTTCCAGCGATCCGCTTGCCAGCATTGACCTCAGTTCATTGCCAATCCCGGAGCGCACGGCTCCCAAATCGAAAGTGAAGAGCACCGCTGCTGCATCTCGGGGTCGTGCGGAGCCTTCTGCATCTCCAACGGTGCGCAGTGGCATGCGCCAATCTAGCGACCGCGCAACTACACCGTCAGCTAAGTCCGAACCTGCGAAAACAAAGCCATCTCCTACAGCCAACTCAGATTCGGAGAGCTCGCTGTCTCACGGTCACAGTGATGGCGATGCGACCGGCACAGGAGCGATGGCATCGATCTTCGCAAATTTTAAAGCAGAGATGGAACAGCAGCTGCGAGAATCTGCAGAGGAGCAAAAGCGGCAGGAGGAGGAAAGAGAAAGGAAAAGGAAGGAGGACGAAGAAAAGAGGAGAAAGGAAGTGGAGGAGGAAGAGAGGAGGAAAAAGGAAGTGGAGGAGGAAGAGAGGAGGAAAAAGGAAGCGGAGGAGGAAGAGAGGAGGAGAAAGGAAGTGGAGGAGGAAGAGAGGAGGAAAAAGGAAGTGGAGGAGGAAGAGAGGAGGAAAAAGGAAGTGGAGGAGGAAGAGAGGAGGAAAAAGGAATTGCAGGAGGAAGAGAGGAGGAAAAAGACAATGGAGGACGAAAAGAGGAAGAAAAAAGAAGCAGAAGAGGAAGAAAGGAGGAACAAGGAAGCAGAGGAAGGAGCCAGACGGAGACGAGAAATGGAGGAGGAAGCGAGAAAAAACAAGGAATCAGATCAGGAAGAGGCAAGGAAGATGGAAGCTGAGAAAGAGGAACTTAGACGGAAAGAAGAGGAAGCTAGGAAGGAACGTGAAGTCGCAGAAGCAGAACAATCGAGACTTAAGGTGGAGGACGAGCAGAGGAAAGAGGTCGAAACTCGCAGACGTGCAGAGGAACTGGAAGCGAAGAGACTTCGCGAGGATGAGCAAAGAAAGCGTGAGGCAGCCGAAGTTGCGGAAGAACTACAACGGCGAGAGCTCGCGGAAGCAGAAAGGAGAGAGCAAGAGCGGAGGAGACAAGCAGAAGAACAAGAGGCGGTGGAAACAAAGCGAAAGCTTGACGAGCGGAGGAGCATGGAGTCCGAAGCACTGGACAGGAAAATTGATGAAGAACGGAACAGGAGTGAACACATCCCGAGACCTCAGATTGAGATTGGACAATTGGGCACGGCAGCTGATGTGAAGGAAAATGCTGCAAAGCGAGCTGAAGAGGCCAAAGATCATACGAAGGGAGCTTCCAAGGACGAGGCGATCGGAGACTGGAAGCAAGTTCGACAGGTTCCACATCAAGTGCAGAATGCGATCTTTGACCTGGACATCAAAAGACAGGAGATTGCGGAGATGAAAGACTTGCGCACGAAGACGAGGGAGGACCAGCTTTACGACGAAGAGGCCAATTCATTGTTGTAGCGGTTGTGTGTGTGTGTGTGTGTGGGTGGGGTTGTGTGTTTGTGTGTGTGTGTGCGTGAGAGAGAGGGAGTGTCTGTGTGTCACAACGATGCAGGCCGCCCACCGACTGGTCTTGTTATTTTTCTCCGTGCGTGCTTGGCCGCAGCCTCAACTGCAGTCGGTGAGTAAATGTGGCATCATTTGCGGTTGTAGGTCCGAGAATTGTGAAGGAGGCCGTCCTCGCCCTGGGTTGGTCGATTCACGTGTCAGCGAAGGCCGTGCTGTTACGGCTGAGGTGTGCGCAAAGCTGGGGTGCCTGGTGCTTCAAGTCAGATGCAGGCGGCAGCGCTAGTGTTAGAAGGAGGAGATGTCCAATATATCTTTTTGGACAGCACCGCCGTCGCTCATGACTTCTGCTAAGGAGCTGAGTGGCACAGGTTTCAAGCTAGCAAATAGAGAGCTATCGAACACAGAAACTGTTCGACAGAATTCTTGTGTTTCAGGGAAGCTGCTGGTGGTAGAGCTCAATGCTAGCATATGTCTGCGACCTGGTATCGTCGCACTGTGTTGTTGTCAGGTGTGCCGCAAGTTTGCAGAAAGTGCTGCAGTGGCACACGACTGGGCTCGGCGGTGGCCTCGGCCAATTCGTAATCTAGCACCGTAAGACTTTAGTGGATTTACTTTCGGCTTTCTCCCAGTTAAGCAACGAACCTGAACGTTGATACCAGAGAGATCAGCAGAGGTACAATGAATGCTGCAGATCCCCGAAGCGATTCCAGCAGGATCACACGCAATAAGGCCACATGCCGCCGTACGGACCGACAATCTGGCGACAGTGTGGCTACGTCTAACATCCGGTCGAGCAGTGCTAGATAGAAGCGTAAACGATGTAGCCAAGCATCCACTTCGCGCTGACAAGATGACGAAGCGAAGGCTGAAATGTTCGAGTAGATGGAACCGTGCATGACTGCACAACCAGAGACTGACCAAGGCCTCAGCTCTGAGGTCCCGCAATGTACCGCCGCCTATATAAACAGAACGACGCCTGCTGAAACGAGACGCGGCTTTGTTGCTGTCAGTCCAATTGGTCACTGTCATTCAATGAGTGCATGGGTGTGCAAAAACGCATCTCTGGGTGTGTCATATGAGGTGCTGCAAGGCTTGTTTTCAGCCGCTTTAGCAGCAGATGCCGCGTTGTCTAGGCTTGAGCACCCGCTTCCGAACCCAGTCTTCAGTGTCCTTGAAACCCAAAACGGCTTGCCGCGGAAAATCCGATATTTTCCGGTTCTAGAGAAAGAGCGCGAGAGAGAGAAAGAGAGAGAGAGAGAGAGAGGCACGGGCAGGGGAGTTTACTCCCCTGCTCATATCCCTTCCGAAAGAAAGAGAGAGAGGCACACCGTTCCTCGCCTTCGCCTCCTCGCGAAGGGGGAACAAAGTCAGTGGACGACGGGGGAGATCACCACCTGGAGACCGAAGACGCGGAGGAGACACAACGAGGGGGAGACCTCTCCCTAGACCAAGACGATCTAGTTCGACAAGTGATGAACGACCTCAAACAACGAGGGGGAGATCCACACCACAAGGGGGACGATGTCGTGGACGTCGAGACCGAGACCAGAGAGCAGACGTCCCCAGCCTCTTCCTCCGCGATGTCTGCCGGGGCAAAGTTTGGGCAAAAGATAAAAAGGAAGCTAGAAGAGGATCGCAGAAGAACCCTGAAGGTCGGGGGACTTACTGTGAAACTCCCAGCACGCGCGGGGGAACCTGCACGTGGATCGCTGGCAGCTAAAGTGCAGCGAGTCTCGAGTTCCATGGCTTCGAGCTCCCAGGCAGCGCCTGTGCAGGAGTCGCTGCAGGCCAAAATGAGGCGTATGGCAGCGCTGCTTGACGCGGGGGAGGAGACACTGCCCAAGACGGGGAAGCGGCATAGCAGCAGCAAAGGGGAGAGACCCCCACTCAGACGACGTCGCCACCTGAGCGCAAAGTGAGCAACCTTAGCAAGCAGCCGAGTAGACAAGGTCGAAACTTCTTGCATATCCAGTTCATCCTAGGGGGGGAACTTTCCTGGTTTGTGTTGGTTGTGATATGTCTGCGTTGGGCGCCCTAGGATGAATCTGGGGATCAATCCTTGCCTAATTTGTTTTCTGCAGGGGATGCCTCAAACATTGGGGAGCCCAAACTACAGTAGTCCACCCTTGTTCTACGGCTTCAAGGACCGTTTTGAGAGGGAACGCCAGACCCAGTATTTGTGTTGTAGCCTGCGAGTGCTGGGGGACGTGGCCGATTGCATGAAGCTACCGTCAAGTTGATACTGCACTCCTTGTTGTTTCAGCTTCATGCCAACCTTGCTCCGGGGGATTCCTCAAAACGGGGAACCTCCCTCTGACCCAGTCGCAGAGGGCGACAACAGACTCGCTCCTTTGCGGGACCAAGAACATGGCTGCGCGCACAGCGTGGGGAGGGAGGGTCACGATTCTCACTCCTCTGAGCCATTAGCAAGCAAGCAAGCAAGCAAGAGAGAGGCAACGGGGAAACCTTCCTCCTGCCCATAACCCTGCCGAAAGAAATAGAGAGAGAGGGAGTAGTGCTAGCACCGTCACCTAGCTGTTGGAGTACCTGTTCTTGTGCCAGTGCAGCCCCAGTTGTGTGCGCAATTCTGTAGTTGCCAGGGAAGTTTTTCGGGGGAAAGCCTGTGCACTTAGAGTTGCGCGTGCAGCAACAAGCTGCCAGACAGCAACAGCCCCAGAAGTGACGAGGCCGGGGGTCATTAAGTAGTTTAAGTACAGGGTCGGGGGATTAACAGTTGATGACCGCCGGCCTCAACACTTAGCAAGTTCTCACAGTGGACAAGAACCCTCTTTGGCTGTGCAGAAGAAGAGAGAGCGAGAGAGAGAGAGAGACTGTGAGGTCCAGTTAGGTACGAGGGGTCAGGTCGTGCGTGTCGTAAGCTGGGGGAACCTTGGTACGTGGGAAGGATCGGTAGTGTCACTCGAACCCCCTGAAAGCCCTACAAACAGTGCGCCCAAGCGGCCAGGGGGTCCTGACCCGCCCCTTATGTCCGAAGAAAGAAGAAGACCGTAAGTACACATCGGGGACGAAGTTTCGCTTTACAGCCCCCGTTACCGTTATAAAGAGTTTACACCGACAGGAGTCTTATACAAGACATACGTGCAGCACGGCTCAATGCGTTCCAACTCCACTCAGTTGTTCACACGGTTGGCTTACATGTCGCGCACTGTCTTTGACGCCTTCCCCCTCTTTACTCGCACGCACATGATCGCACATGCCATGGATGTAGAGAGCGAGGGAGTTGTCGGGCGTGTGTTGTTGGACACCGTGGTTCCTTCCCCAGCAGGGTCGGGGTGAGCGCCCATCCCCCCCCCCCCCGGCGGCACCATTGCGAAGACCGCCGCTGTTTGGCCGCTATAGCTCATGAGTGAGGTATACCCCCCCGCCCAGCGTACACGGAGTCTTCCATGGGACATTCGCAAGACTGTATAATGTAATGTAAAGACTTCGCGACGCAAACCTGTTTGAGGTACCCCGCCCCGAGCCCCCCTTTCTGAGCTGGTGCAGACCAAGAAGTTTACGGAGCCGTTGAAGGTACCTTGAGCCACAATGCTTCTTTTTTCTTTCTTTCTTTATCTCTTTCTTTCAGGCATGAAGGACAAGGCGGCTGCCCCCACGTCCTCACGCGCACGTGGACCTGAATGTCCTGGCGGGGTTTTGGGACTCCCAGTCGGAGATGTTCTCCACCACGCTCAGCTGTACCGCCGTTTCTGCACGGGTTCCACAGTGCACCCCAGCAGGTTACAACCAAAGCAAATTCGGGCAAACAGCGGTTCCTGTGCCTCCGCGGCGATGTGCTGTCTCCTCCTGGCACCGGACAGGCAAAAGCGCTTTCCGAAAACATACGAGTCTGCAAAAACACGATATCACCCTCACAAGCACTGTAAAGGTTTTGTCCAAGCCGCTCCCCAACATGATGCGTACACACAACAGCAGCTTAGTCTTCTTTCATGCAGCCAGAGAAGGACGGACTCCCGCCCCCTTCGCGTGCTTGCACGCCCCTGCTCTCTGCGGTCTGAAACAGCAGTTACAAAATAATGAAGCCCCGTCAGAGAACTCCGAAATCCCCCGTATTAGAACACTAATACACCCACAACCGGTCTCATCATTCAAGAAGGCTAAGGCTAGAGCTAGCTCTGTGTGCCCGTATGCCGCTTATCGCCGCCTCGCACCTCTTGTACGGTTCTGGGCTGCGCTATTGGTTCACGCCGTCACGACGAAACACAAGCAAAAATAACCTTAATGAACCGCGGTCCCTCAAAGCTACAGTAGCGCAGTGGACGCAGTCTGGCACTCGCGAGACTCGCACGGCAGTGCAAGGCCCCAGCATCCTGTAAAAGTGGTACATTTGCAAATTCAGACTAACTCAAAAACACTGTTCACACAGGAGCAGAGAAGCGGCATATGCTGAGATGGGCAAAAACTGCCCCCTGCAAACTGGAACCAAACAGCGCAAATCTAGGTAGGGAAACATAGTTGGGTGGGTGGAAGTTACCATGGCGATCCAACACAGCAGCGTGCATGCGTCTACGACGCAAGGGATCTGCTGAAGCAGCGGCTTCAAGGAACTCGTGCTGCACTTGACGTTCTGCTTCATCGAATGCCTCTTCGAGTTCTGCATCTGTAAGCCCCATGAGCTCTTCTGCCTCATACAGACTTTCACTTGCCACCCCCGAGCTCCGTATACTGCCCGACTATTGTTCAGCCCTCAAGGGAGGGGTCTATGGCCCAGCAGGAGCAGCTTCTCCTAACAGTAACGGTTCGCCGTCTCCCCCATCAGTGGTCTGGGTATGTCAGGGTTTCCATTGCAATGGTGGAGTTGCCAGGTCGGCTCCGTTGCCACGTTCGCTGGGCGCACGTAGTTCAGAATCGCGGTCTCATCAAGGAGCTCCACTGCTTCTTGTTTTGGAAGGGCCACCGTCTACCCCCAACCCACAGACTGCAAGTCAAGGTCTCCTTGCATAGTGTCCCCGATGGCTCAGCGTGCACAAGCCGGCACGTCCATGATGTACTTGGTATCCCCCTTGTCCTTCGATTGCACGTCGGAGCTGCACCTCTCCAGCCTCAAGGTCATGCAGCGAATCACGAAGGTCTTCGTCTATTGCATGTTGGTTTTGTCTCGTGTTCTCGTCCTCCTCGGTGAGCTTGGCGCTTCGCGGGCCGCGCAGCGCCGTCGCCATGGCCATGATTGGAACTAGCTGCGACACTATCAAGCTGTGTCTGCACTGCATGTTGCATGAACAATGAGTGGTCCAGCTCCCCCTTCTCCAACGTCTTGTCTTATCGCTCGGGTGTAGTAGTGCGCGCCGTTGGGCTCACGGTTGTGTTTGGCGAGGTCGTCCCAGAGGATGGCGACGGTTGTCTCTCCCTCGTTGCTTTGCTCAAAAGCCACGGGCGGACCCCTCGACCCGCGCTTCAGACGCTTCCCCATCCACTATTTTGGTCGAGGGGCTTGGCTGTACTGTGGTCTCTCGGACCGAGCGGGTGATCCTCAGTGTACACCCCCGTGGGTGCAGGCTTTGGGTACCGCATTGTTAGTTTGCACGGAAATAGAAAGTGTGGGCCGAAGGGAAAGAATAACATGCTCCAATTACCGGCCCCGCAAGTCGCTTTGCTTGCTGCAGGCACGCATAGGCACGCCAGTCTAAGGTTCACGGAAGTTGAGTGGGTGCCCCCGCTACACAAATTAAAGTCGGGACGAAACTTACAGAAAGATGCCTCCCATTCATTTTCGCGTATGGCAGCAGGCTGGCATTCGGCTGCCGGGTCGGCAGGTTCTCGAAGTCTTCCTGGGTGGCCTGGTTTGGGGGGCTTGTCTCCTTGGCGTGGGTCCTTGCTTTTGTTGTAGTCGGTGTGTTTCGCCTCGTTGCTGGTCTCCCTTGTAGGTGTCTGCCCCGATGAGGCAGCGGTGGCATTGCCGACCTCCCTGGATCATCAGGGGCTGGGCTGCTTTTCCTCCTTTGCTTCTTCCCCCACACCACCCGGAACACGTACCTGCATGAATCAGCCCGGGGCCCTTTGTCACTCATCAGTTCTGTTGGTGCCATTCCTCGTGTCTGGCAAGCCGAGGCAGGACCGTCCCCACGGATCATTCACCTGTTTCCGTTCGCCATTCCTGGTGTCTGGCATATGGCACAGGTAGTCCCAAAGTTATTGATGTCATCTTCGTTCTGCATCACCATCTTCATCATCACCTCGTGCATCCAGCAGCTCATGAACCGGTCTGTCAGCACAGTCCAAGTGTGCGGGTGCGGGTGCGGGTGTGGGTTTGCAGGGGTATGGCTGCTTGGTAGGGTGGTTGGGTGAGCGGGTGGCTGGGTCTATTCTATCCAAAGGTCAGTGTCAATGCTTGCTTGAAGTTCGGATTTTGAGGAAGACCCAAGCGTTTGCTTGCTGGAGTCGCTTTAGCGCCAGCACGGCAAGTGCCGCATTGGACCGCAAAGCGCAGGACACCAGGGAAATGTGCGTTGTGATAGCATCTGATAGCAATTTTTGTTTTGAACTCACCGGCTTTCCTTGCTCCTTTATTATCTTCATCGTTTCGAACCAGGACCAACTTGCTGCAGCAGCTCAACAAGTTGCGGAGACAACTTGCTCCTGAACTGCTTTGCGGTAAATTCTGGTCTTGGTCTTGACTCACCTGGCAGCAACTGCATGCAAGTCCACATTTCAGCATCCGAGGCAAGCAGTCCGTGCTATTGCAGCAAGTGGCTCACTTGGAGCAAGAGGTGGCGAAATTAAGCCAGGAAAGGGATACATTATCGGGAGACTTGGAAGCTTTGCTTCACAACGGACTGGGAGCGGGCCAACGGAACTCACAAGAGAAGACATCCGATTTGCACGGTGACCGAACTCAGAAGCTAGAAGCTGATCTCGATCTCGCTGAGAAGATGCTGCGTGCCTGCGAGAAAGAGAACGAAAATTTAGCAAGCCAAAACCGCCAGCTTCGGCAAGGAGCTCGCCTACGGCGTGAAGAAGTCGATGGAAGGCAGTTGCAACTGGTGGCCGAGTTGAATGCAGCCAAGGCTAGTGCTGATGCCAACCCAGCCAACATGGCCCGACTTGTTGACCTGGAGCGGGAGCTTGTGGCAGTCAAGGAAAGAGCTGACGAACACGCAAAGGAGCTGGAAAGGTGCAGAGAGGCAAAGCGACAACTTGAGCGGGAAATGATAACGGGACCGTTGCCAAAAGCTGCTCACAGTGAGGAGCTGGAACATGCCGAAGCAAGACTTGTTCAAAGCCGGAATGAGGTGTCAGAGCTGCAGGCTAAACTTCTTTTCTATGCCCAGGGACAGCAGGAGATGGAGGAGGACCGCAGACAAGTATTGCGCCTTGGCGAAGAGTTGCGTGCAGCCTTGGGCGAGAATGCAGAGCTTCGCAAGCGGCCTGCAAAAGAAGCCAGCAAAAAGATTGCAGAGCTTCGGAAACAAAACGAAGAGTTGCATGAGTGCCTCCGAAAGCGGCATCCCGACAGCCTCCTGGCTCTCATCAAAGCTTGCGAGCCGCCTCCTGAAGAAAAACGCAAGCTAAGTGAGCTGAAAGGCCGCGTCGCGGAACTTGAGGCTCAGCTTGCAGAGCAAGATGCGTTGTACGATCGCCGCATCCGGGCACTCAGAGCGCAATACGACCATATGCGGCACGAGTATGAGCGACGTGCAGCCATAAATCGTGTGCCGGTGCCTGAGACAGAGGAGCCCAAGCGTGCAGCTCCCGACCGCGAGGCTATCCTCCAAGCCAGAATCAAAGACCTGGAACGGCAAGTTGAACACACGAAGTCTTACTATCTCAGCAAACTACGTAAAAGAGAGCCGCTAGTCCCGTCGGGCAAGTCCAACAAAGCCACTGTGCCGACTAATCCCAGTGGACATGGAACACATCACAATCAGGGAGGCGATGCTCGACATGTCCAGCAACTCCAGCTGCAATTGCAAGCGCAAGAAGACCGCATAGCGGAGCTGACATCGGCATCGGCATCTATGAGGAAGGAACCGTGCTCGATAGTCTTCCTCCGCCTGCTTTTGGCATCGCCAGAAGCACTAGCGCTTCTCGCGTTTTGCGTGATCCAGCGCTGGCTGCATACTGGCTCCGGAAACTCGGAGGAGGCTCTGGCGAGGTCGTTTTTTCCATGCATTTAATCGAGTTTTCATGCTCCTGGTCCAGAGAGGCTTCCATGTGTAGTTTGTGTGATTTCTTCCCGGTCCCTCTCCCCCACTCCCCCACTCCCCCACTCCCCCCCTCCCCCCTCTCCGCCCCTCTCCCCCACTTCCCCCGCCCCGCCCCACCCCCCCCCCATCTCTCCCCTCTCTCCCCTCTCTCCCCTCT